AAGGAAACAAAAGAAGACTTCTTCTAGACATACGCATGTGGCAACCGTAGATTCTATAATAAATAAAAGAAGAGGAAGATGAAAAAATATTCAAAGAAGACTTGAACACGAAAAATATATCGTTGTCCTCAAACGATATTTGCCTCCTCTCATCAACGCTTTTAAGGATTGAAAATGACAAATAGTTTGTAGGATTTATCAAGCCTTAATGAAGAACACCAAAAGCTAATTGTATCTTCAAATGAACAAGTGAAAACGTAAAAAATTGATTATGTAAAGGAATATAATTTCTTCAAAATTTGGATGAATAATAGAATGGATTCTCATATCCTGTTGCGCCATGATGATGTTTTCGCGTGACGTTTCCAATATTCCAACTAGACTTTTTGTCATAATTATAGATATCGAGTCACTTGTTGAGTTGTCCAGTTTGGATCCTTCGGTGGGCAAGGCTCTTCTTGACCAAGCCAATGTGGACCTTGTCAGACATGGACTGTAGGTCAAGATCAGATCACCTATTCGAATGGATCTTAAATTGGCAACGACAACATAAGAGCTCATAATAATTTGGGATATAATTATTTGCATGGGACTAAGCAAGTTAGAAAATTGAGGTTGGAAAAATCATATTTGGGTTATACTCTTGGTTCTTAAAATTGTCTCAAATTGGTGTATGCTGATGAAGGCAAATAAATCCCAAGAATCAAGATAATATATCTTTCTTAATGGTCAACATAAAAATATAAGCAAACTTATACACCATTTTCTCATTTGAGGACTATATTCATAAAAAGTAAAAGCAAGTTTGACTAATTGCCATCTTACTGTAGTTAATTGATTATTCCGAGATTGAATCGCAACTGTAGATTTAATATTGCTGTTATTACAAGAAAAAAACATATAAAGAGAAATTACTACGATCTTTTTATTACTTAATTGTTTAAATAGCCTCTGTTATGTAAAGAGAAATCGTCACTGTTTCTATAACTTCTTTACTTATACAATATTTTTTAACTTATGATATACCTGAATTTTTGTGTGTAATAAAATTTACACATCACCATTTTGATTAAAGATGACCAGGAAATGATGAATATTTTATTTATGGTCAAAAGATTTGCTTTTATCTCTTGCGAAAAGGTTAGTACTTGAACATTTTTGGGGGAAAATTTTCGAGGATTCTGTAAGTTTGTAGGGAAAAGACATGTGGACATCAAAAGTGTACATTATCTTTGAGTTGGCAAGATTTAATTTGTTAAAAAAAAGTTTATTTTTTTAAATTGTTCAATAGTGTAGTGCCATGTCATCTTATAAGTTACAAAAAATACTATAAAATAAGATTGTACATGGTTTGTAATAACCTGTCAATGCTTTTTCCACGTGAAAAGACCCCACTGATAAAAATAAGGATTTGTCTACATGTACATAATTCATTATATATAATAGTTCCAACACCCACTCACGGAGGACCCACTTCGGATAAAAAAAATAATGCTTCCTTGACGTGGTCACTTTTCATTTCTTTACATTCCTCGATCTTTCCTTGTGCAGCTAGCAAGTAGCAAGAAAATTAGGAATCATGCTGCTCTGCCAGATCTATAAAAGGCTTGATAGAGCAAATTGTGATATGGGAAGTGGGTGTTTAACATTTGGGAGGGGGGCTTTTTAAATGAGGTGGGTCCCGAGGACCACCTCATGTGAGTGCTCAACCATAAGAGCTTAATTCGAAAATTAGAGGTAGGTGGGTTTGCTTTTATTTCTGGTCATGGAGCTCACATTGGGGGACTTCTATTTTTCCGAGAAAAATTTGTAAAGACCCCATTGATCAGAATAATGCTTCCTTGATGCTTTCACTTTTCATTTCTTTGCTTGAGCCATTTTTGGCCTTGTGAGAGACTGATAGATTGGAGATGGCTCATGCTGTTGTTGTTTCTCTTATGCACACTCTTGAGCAGATCCTCCAACATCCAAATCCACACTTGAATCCTTATGAGCAGCAAGAAATTGATTGTCTTTCTAAAAAGCTTAGCTTTTTACTAGATTTTCTTGAAGAAAATTCCCAAAATAGCAGCGACCATGTATTATCTATGGTAATAAAAATCAGGGATGCGGCTTATTATGCAGAAGATGTAATTGAATCTCGCATATGCAATACTGTTCTTTCACAATCTGGAAGTCACGGACAGGAGAGTTCTTTACAGCACCTACTTCCGGGGCTCCCAATATCTGACAGCGACCCTCATACAGACTTCCAGAAGATAATAAAAGAATTTGATTCCATCATGGAAGAGGTGGTGAAGATTGCGGACTTGCAGAAAAAAATAACAGAAGTTGATAGACTCATGGAAGATGCGATGAAGATTACGGAGGGGATCGGGCAATCAGGGCGTTTTTTACCATCAAGACCTGAACCTAGTGGCCAGAGTACTACAGTGGGATTCGAGGAAGATTTGAAGCAGGTAAGGGATCGACTCTGTAATGAATCATCTAGACTCCGAATCATTCCCATTGTTGGGATGGGAGGCATTGGCAAAACCAATCTAGCTAGGAATGTTTATGATGATCAGTTTGTTGCGTATCACTTTCATATTCGTGCTTGGGTAGCACTATCTCCACAGTATCATAAGAGGGAACTTCTTCTAAGGCTTCTAGGTCACTCTGTTGTTCTTACTGCTGAGGTACGCAAAGAGAGTGATGAGAAATTAGCAGATCGCCTTTACAAAAGTCTAAAGGGTAGGAGATATCTAATTGTAATTGATGATATTTGGAGTACTACTGCTTGGGATAACATGAAATTGTTATTTCCAAATGACAACATTGGAAGCCGAATCATAGTGACGACCAGGCTAACAGATGTGGCTGATCATGCCGGCTCATCTAAAAATCATCACCAGATGCGTTTTCTAGATGAGGAACAAAGTTGGAATT